TATATATAGTTGTCAAAGTGTTCTTCGGAGTTGTCTCACTCTGCCAAGTTTCAAGGGGAGACTCACGCTTCAATTACGCTGGGGAGGGAAAGTTTTGTGTTTCGTATGCGTATTAGATTTTCCAAACATGGGAGGCCTCCCAGCAGGGGAATTTATCCTACCCCTGTAAAGTATTATCGCTGATGTAGGGATACGTTTAGCAGTTTCATACATAGATGGGATTGTTGTGAGACCTCTGTTGCACAGTAGCTGCAATACCGACCAGGAGTGTGTTTTGGGGTTCTTGGGAGGGAGGGCAAGCCTGACAGAGACAGACATCTCAGATGACTAAATAAGCTCAGACACTCACTTTGAGTGTATTTGTTTTATTTTCCATGATAAGAATGACAGGAGTGATGACTATGAAAACTATCCACTCACCCTAACCGGCCGAGGCCAAATGCCGCCCACCTTGAGTTTTTCCTCACCACTGTCGCCAAGTGCTTGCTCAAGGGGGATTTGTTGGGGTTTCCTCTATACCGATTACTATGTAGAGTGCTGAGATGACTTGTTGTGATTTGTTGCTATACAAATGAATTGAATTGTATGGTCAAGTGTACAGGCTGACACCATGTAGAATTATTTCTCCAGCCACAGCTGTCGCCTATGTAGAGGCATAGAAATGTAAACTACTGTCAAAGGAGCATCAGGTATCTTAAGCACACTTTGTGTAAAATCTTAATTCATAAAAATTGTAACAAATAAATGTATAGTGAAAAGTACATGAAGCGAAACATGTTTCTGCAGACTGTTTGTTTTTGATGGACAGAGTCAACGCTAAGGTCAGTGTTTCAGATTCTGGAGTCAAAAGTTGTTGTTCAGGGTTCTTCTCCTCAGCACCAAGTACAGCGCACGTTACTTTGATTTATAAGCTTGTGCCTTTTTCTGATAAGTGACCAAACTCCCTTAAAAAAAAATCCAGCAGGTTAATGTTGTTTTTTTTTTTAGGAACAAACAAAACATTCAATATACTCAAGCTGCAATAAACATCTTCTGGTTAAGTCATAGCAGTAAAACATTAAGTCGGGTTTACTGCAATAAACATCTCTAAGTTTAGGCTGCCGCTAGCTGCCATTCCGCTTCTTTGGCCACATGTAACATTGACCTGTATAGAAAGTCTCTAAACAAAGCCTGGTAGTATATGTCTTTGTTCGAAACTAACATGCATCATGAAACTAATAATTTCTTGAATGTTAACTTCTGGTAATTTGGCCTTAAGTGGAAAGACCTTGGTACTAAATATAATCTTTAACATTAGGTTCCTGCTGCTGGTTTATCTGTTTAAGATTGATTTTCAGCCACAATGTATGCTTGTATTTCCTTATAGCCATCATAGATTGATATGTTAATGTTACCTTAATGTTTTTAAAAAAACCATGGAGTTACAAGTGTGCAGTGACCATAAAATTTAGAGTTTTTTTCAGTCTCCAGGCATTACAGCTGATGTTACTACAAGTTACAGTTCTTAAACCAAAAACAATGCAAAAAATTAAGGCAACAGTTAAAAAGGGAGCACGATGTCATTTTTGATCACACATTAAATACAGAGTCAAAAGAACAGCAAAAAGACAATTGATAAATTGGAGATAAGGAGGAATGTCCTTCAAAAGCTGAACATTTTGATATTTGAATGGTTTTTCTAGCTGAAAGTATGCTGGAGTTAAGTGTGGAAAAACGGATGGAAGAAATGAGAATAATAAAGAATTAGATAACAATAGTGTGGGTGCTGACTCAGTATCCACACTATTAACAGTTGTGAACCGGTTTGGCTTAGTGGGGCAAGACAGGAGCCTTCATTAAGGTTATTATTTACACCTGCACTTATCCTCCTATAACAAGGTGGCCTACATTTTTCATACAGAAAACCCCGGCATCTTCTGTAAATTTAGCATAACTAGTGTTTATCAAAAGTACTAGTAAAATATTATTCGAACACCTTCAGCTGTGACCTAATATACGGTGCATTCCTGGCTACTGGTGTTCTTCTTTCCTTAAACCATTTGTGGTTGAACAGTCATAGTGTTGTTAACCGATACAGCAGCGCCCTCTCGTGGTCGGGGCGAGTGGCTGCAGCGCGAGGACAGTGGTCCACGGAGAGTCTCCTTATCAACTTCACTGTCTTTCAGAGACCAATTGGCTAACTAGTAATGGCAGCACTCACAGAAACAACTCCTCAGTGGAAAACAACCATTATAGTCAGCACATCACTCCAGGTAGGCCCCTTGAATTGTCACACATTTTAGCAGTTTGGTTTCAGAAGGTGGTTGAATAACGTGCTAGCTATCAGGCTAAGAAACAGCCTAACGCTAACTTACCACTTAGCAGCATAAATCTTAAAATGTAGCGTTACGCTAAAGGTAACAGTTGATAAAGTATCCTTTTAAAACATGCCTTACTATTTACCCAGTGTAGAAGCTAAGTTAATTCCATTGTCAATTTTTTGCAGAACCATGATACCACCAGGATGCTCAGTGCACAACGGCACCGCATCAGATTTTCAGACAGTGTGGAGTCCCGAGCCTTTATTTTTCCTCTGTCGGGTAAGCCCGTTATGTTTTGTGCTTTTGGGTAACCCCTCCACCTTTAACAGGAACCCTGTAGAGGCCCCGGGAGAGGTCATGGAAAGATGGTCTGGTTATAGTAGAAAACCATCAAACGAAGTCACCACAGGAATTTGTAAGGCCGGTTTATGTGTAGGAATTCAAACTGAAGAGGTACAAGTCATGTTTGTAGTGTTCCCCACCCACATTAACTAATACATTTCACATGTGTGACTACATGTCATTGTGTTTACCTTAAGAAATATTATGAATAATGTGTCTCCCAATAAAATGAAGAGCTGTTCTTGTAAATATAAACAAAAGGAACGTAGCCTGTTCTGTAAAGCTGTCCCTAATTTACATGTGAGAAAACGGTGAATGTGTTTCTGACTGTACAGACACAGGAGATGGGAAAATGATAACTGATAGTCTTCATATACAATATTAATATTTGCTCAGTGTGTGTGTGTGTGTGTGTGGTGGATATGTTTGTGTGATTGGGCAAGGAATGGGGAGACTAACCAGTTGTATTTAAAAACAGTATTGGGGACTTTTTGTTTTGGCATTTTGTTTCTCCAGCATCAGGAAAAACATCTGTTAACATGACACAGGTGCTGCAAGAATACATAGGCTAAATATCGGAGGGACAGTTGGTACAGGTGAGGGTACACTGGTTTTTGCATGGTCCATTAGGGGAAAAACTTGTGAAAAACCAGCTACATTTCATAAATTTCCCATAGCCATAAATTTTACATAGAGGCATACAAATATTCTCGATAGACTTCAACTGGAGGCTCATAAACGGCATTGGTGACAGCACATTTTCTGGCTAATACAAGCCTCAACATGAAGGGTCACTTTCCGCTGCCCCAAGTACTAAACACAGTAAACAAATGAAGTCATTTAGTATTTATTTGAATATGTGCTTAATTGTTGACAGTAAGCTGTTCCATTTATGACTTTATTGCCTAGGTACTGCATTTCTGTTGGTGGACCCTCAAGCTCTTCCAGAGCATTTTGAGGAATCAGGAATCATTGAGATGATAAAGAAGTTTGTGCAAGTACACCGGAACAGCTTTCTACTTCTGTATGGCCCCTTTAATGGGAAAAAAGAGTTGGAAATCTTGTCAGAGATTCAGCGCCGGTAGGTAAAAGGCCATGTTATCTTTTATTAATTCAATCATTTCCCTAAATTGTAACCTGGGAGGGCAGTTTTTACATGACTGAAATTAATGTAACCAGGATTCTGGTTATATAAGCGTTGTGATTGTAAGATTCATATTATTTGTCCAACCATGCTTTTAATAACTGGAAATCCTGGTCTCTTCCAGATTTTTTGGCAGAAACCTCAGGATCCTGCCCGTGCGAAACACCGCTGAGGCTGTCAAGGGAATGTTGACAATTGCCAAGGTAAAGATAAAGGCAAAGAAAGGAAAAGAAATTAGTCCTGATGTTGTGCCCTTGAGATAGTTTTTTTTTTTTGTAAGCCAAGGCTCATTTGTCTGCAGGCCACCAGTAAGCCCCATGTAGACAACATACGTGACCGGATGTCTCTGGCTCGGGCTCACGTTATTGAAAGCAGTCCTGTGTGGGAGATGCTAAGAAACACAATGTAAAGCTCAGCAGGTGATCCAACATGTTTCCCCCAACATTTGTGTTGTTTTATTTCATACTAACCAGTACAAGTCTTTGGTACAACATACAAAATCAATTTGTTCTATTTCTGCCAATAACTTCAGCATAGAAAAGTTTTTACTTTGTTGAATCTATGTTATTTAATCATCAAACCGAATAAATGCAATTAAACAGAGGTTAGAAAAACAATCCAGTGTATGAAGTGACATTTGAGCACAGCCTTTAATCTGGGATCCTCAGCTTTTCCTCGGTGATCTCTTTGATACGGGCTATAAGACTCTCTGTCAGGTCACCAAAGCCCTCTGCGACATGAGTGATCAGCTTGCTAGAGCTACAAAGCCCAAAATCCAAATAATTAATAAGAAGAGTTTCTGCACCTGGTGCTGGACCTCTGGGGACATATCAGATACTTTCTTATATTTCAGTGTTATGCTTTTGACCAGTGTGGTGGGGCTAGCAGCATCTCTGGCTTCTGGTAGAGGACATTGCATAATGTATAGTTCAGTATGAAAACAGACTATGCAGCATTATTTCACTGGCACTGTTACACAGATTTGCAGCTAATGCCTTCCTTTTGCTTGTTTGCTTTTGATCCTCTCTCAGCGCCTTTAGTTCAGCAGAATAATATGGTCTTGATATACTGATACACATACGCAGCATTTTTAGGTATTCATCTTTGATCCTGCACAGCTCTTACCACACATCTTTCTGCAGGTAGGAGGAGCAGATCGTCAGCTTTCTGTATGAACCGGTTTGTCTAGCAGAACAACAGTGAAAGTGTTGATTTAGCCAGACTGATATTGCTCCTCAGCTCTTGGTCTCTGATGACAACATAGCGTAGAAGATTCAGACTCTCCCTGATCCTGGATAACCAAAGACAGGGCACTGCTTAACCGCTCAGTCTGGATAAAGTGTCCATGATAGGCCTTTATTTTTGAATCTCAGC